AAAATTGCAAGTCCACCTGTCACGGCACGCAGGTGGTCGTAATGAAATTTGCCCCATGCCTTCACAATAACTGCTTCTTTTACCTTGGCAAATGTGCAGCACGATAGAGCAAGCTTTTATCCACAACATACTTTTGAAAGAATTTTTGCATTGCTTAGAAATATATTGGATTTTTAATTAGAAGTTATGTTACGTTACGTTATTATGTTACGTCGCATACTGGAATTTTGGCTACAATTGCGTGAAAATAAACTTGAAATTATCGTTTAAGAAGCCTAAAAAGTGTCCCCATGGCCGAATTTCAATAGATTTTAATTTAGAAGACGTATGCAAAAATATAGCCTTGGTTCCAATGCCTGTAGCGCTTCTACAGCTTTTAAATTTGTTCTGAAGACGGATTTCCACTTCCACGCAAGCAACATTCGCAAACTTTTATTTTCCGTCTATACAAGAACTGATCCTGGCAAAAGCAAAACTACGATTCAATAGCGCGAAGCCTCTTCTATATTGTGTGCATCGAAGTGTCGTAAAATATTAACAGTATTTCTAGCTATAGCAAATTGTAAATACTAAAAATTCTGGTTTTTCGCTTTGCAAAATTACTAGTTTGTTCTTTTGCCGTACAGGTTGTTATCGGTGACAGTTTATTGCCTAACGTTTCGGCACAACGCCGTCGTCGGAGGCTAAAAGTATTCAGTCACGTTGATTTACGATCTTGGTCGCCAAGCATCTCCTCACGCTCGAGCATTCGAATGGTCTTGAGTGGAAGCAGGGAGTCTGCGAGTAGAGGACGACTCACCAGAGTTGTCACCGTTTGTAGCAGTATCAGTTGGTTCTGATGTGCTTCAACGAACTGCGATGTTGAGAGTATGCAGTCAAAGGACACTCTCAGTAAAGCACGCATCATAACACTCATCAAGGATTTATGCTGGAGATACATAGTAAAACTATGATAACATACACTCTCAGTAAAGCACGCATCATAACACTCATCAAGAAATGCTTGCGTTGCAATATATTCAAGTGGTCAGGACGATACTATACACAAGTTATAGGTTTGGCAATGGGTCAACGATTGGCACCCGTCCTAGCAATCTGCTTCATGAGCAGAATTGAACAGCCTGTGCTATCGAGAACCCCGCTTATGTACTGTCGTTATATCGACGATTGTTGTGTAGTCACTTCAACTCAGTCCGAGATGGACGAGTGCTTCAAAATTTTGAACCAACAATCACAGTTCATAAGCTTCACACGAGAAAAGCCATGCAACGGTTGGCTACCATTTTTGAATACGCAGCTGATGGTGGTGAATGGGACGGTGCAAGTCAAGTGGTACCGAAAAGAGAGCAACAAGAATATTCTTCTGCACGCACAATCTGCACACCCTACAGCCGTGAAACGCGCCATGATTCGAAATATGTTCAGAACGGTAGTAGGCATCTGCAGCGGCGAAAAAGAAAAACAAGAATCACTAAAGTTGGCAACTGGAATAATGATTGCAAACGGTTATAATATGCGAGCTAGACGTACAACGAAAGTGTCAAAGGCGAGTGGACAGAACGTAAACAAAATACCTCTGTGCCTCCCTTTCATTTCCGAAAGGGTTAGTGCTGCAATAAGACAATGTTTGATACGAGCGCAGTTGGATAACGAAGTTGTCTTGGTGAATATCCCCCGAGATAACATCAAAAGACAACTAGTCCGTAATAGAATGTATGACAATGCTTGCATCACACGAAATTGCGTGATATGCCCTCACGGAAAAGATGGAGATTGTTCGAAATCTGGCGTCGTGTATCAAATAGAATGTTTAGCATGCTCTGCCATCTACATTGGTGAGACGGGTAGGCCATTGTGCGTGCGCGTAAACGAGCATTTGGCTAGTAAAAAGCGGCAAAGCGTAATGAATCCGCTAGGAAAGCATAGAAAGGTAGATCATAACGGTAATGACTTCGACATCAAGTGCATAATCTTGGCCTACGAAAATCAAATATCCGCGAGAAAGGCCCTTGAGGCATCCTACATTCTTGTCCACGACCCCCAGATCAACAACAAAAATGAACAATTATCTATAACTGGAGATCTGATGCCGTATCTGACATATTGCAAACTATAAGATCGTCTACCCTATTTAAGCAGTCCGTTGACATCACGACTGCTCATTCGCGACACAGCAGTCAGTTGAAATCACGACTGCATACTCTCAACATCGCAGTTCGTTGAAGCACATCAGAACCAACTGATACTGCTACAAACGGTGACAACTCTGGTGAGTCGTCCTCTACTCGCAGACTCCCTGCTTCCACTCAAGACCATTCGAATGCTCGAGCGGGAGGAGATGTTTGGCGACCAAGATCGTAAATCAACGTGACTGAATACTTTTAGCCTCCGACGACGGCGTTGTGCCGAAACGTTAGGCAATAAACTGTCACCGATAACAACCTGTACGGCAAAAGAAAAATATTGAAATCAATACCATAGAATGCCCAGGTTTCAAGACAAGAGGACGTTTGACATACTAGTTTGTTAATTTCCAATCTTACAAAAACATATGGCAGCCATTCCCAGCTAGATAAAGTGTATTTTGTAGAGGATGAACGCAGCATCGTGTGGCATAGAATTGGAATCAAAACCATAAGTACCTTTGTAATTGCAATACTGCAAAATTAGGCTCCCAGACTTTTGACGCACCCTGTACATTATTTTTAAAGTTTTAACTCCACGGTCCTCCTTTCATGTTTCCTCACTGCGCTCACAAGGCTCTGTCTTCTTTCGCTGGCCAAATGTTAACTTTCATTCAATAAAAGTGGTTGACCGGTTTTGTTAGTGTATGTATTATAGATTAAACAACTTTATGAGTAATTCTCTGACCTCTAATGTAAGCACACATCACATTTTTGCGTGCTACAAGCTTCTTCGCACAACCAATTTCGAATCAATTTTTTTATGTCTTGTGGCATTCTCGAAACAACATCATTTTCCAACTGTGCTTGCGCCATGCATCGTTTAACACCATCGGTAACAGCGCCCTATCGGATATAGACGGCAAGCGTAAAGGAACGCATATTCGGCGTTGATTGCTCTCATTCATGTCGCTCGTATGCAGGTTTTGAGCTAGGGCAATCCACCGTTGGACGATGATGCGTGCCATTTCTACTCAAAACTCAAGTGTTTCACTTTTGCCGCTGTTCGCTGTCCTGAGCATCCGCGCACAATCCACGTTTTACGACAGTTGGGTGAGCAGAGGTCATGTATGGGTTAGTGCATTTGCTGCTTTCTTTCCAATATCATTCAATAGGCGCACCGCCGTTAATCAGCATTACTTGTGTGTTAGAAAAGGTAGCACTCATCGCCCACTTCTCTGCTGATGTACTGTAATTGCTCAGTGAGGAGCTTAAAAACCCTATCCTCCTCAGAGTGAGTGCTATAACAGTGAAACAATTGCCTATATAGCGGCAGGCAAAAAACGGGCGTCGTGTTTGCTCATAAAGCTGATAGCAAGAACTAGAGCTAATCTCTGTCTTAATGTCAGCCATTCTAACTGCGAATGTCAGCCATTTCAATTGTGCAAGCTTACTCAGCCATCAAAGATACTACGTCCAAAGCATTCCTTGACTAGAGTCGTGGTGGGCGCTGTACTGTTTCTGTATGTTTCCATACTTGTAAAATATCAATCGAGGAGTTCGAAAATGCTTCAAAACCTCGGGCAAAGTTAATCTATTGCCGCGATTTTTCTAAGAAAACAAACAGTTACGATTCTATTGCATGCCGATCATCTTGCATTTCGGTTGTGAAAATTCTTCGACACGATCAATCGTGAGTAACTATCCAGCCAAAATGCAGGATAATCAAGATGCAATGGACTCGTAACTGTTTGTCTTGTTAGAAGAATCGCGGCGATTAAACGCCGTGAACTCTGCCCGAGGCCCATTATTAGACACATTCTGACTTCATATTCCGAACATTTTGGTACAAGAGTTACTTTACAGTCTAATATAACTAAAGCTCAAAATTGAGTGTGGTATGGGTATGTTGTTTTCGGGAACGTCTACCGTTTAATCGCTTGAGATACTTTGCATCACTTTTCCCGTAGTTTGCCTTAACTACATCTTGAGTCGTTTCGCTGAGGCCTTCATGGATTTACCAATTTGTAGATTTGCAATGAATACGATTTTCAATCAACGTCAAAAAGCACTTTTATAACCTTATGCAAACAATAGGCATGAGTAGAGTAAAACTCTTTTCGTAGAAGAAGATGCAGTAGGCTTTAGGCAGATTCGCAAAACCGTGGTATATTCCACGCGTCCACCGCCACTCGTGACACGTGGCTTTTGAGAGGAGAGAGGGAAGCGGGAAAAGAGGGATTTTTGCCGCTTGCGTAGCGTGTCAAGACAAGTCGTCAACGTAGCTGCTGTAGTTCGTCGTGCAAAAAGAAGCTTTATGCGGTTACGCAAAGCAGATGTTTGAAGTGAATGCTTATCGGAGACACACACCAAATGCAGTTCTGAGGGATATAAGTTAGAGTATGCTGAACGAGTGCAGCTGCACTCGGTCATGCTCCCTGGAAATAATACAATGGTATGGGAGATTTTATCGTTTAATGGCTACAAAATAACATGCATAGTCTACAATGGTACGGGAGATTTTATCGTTTAATCTGCAAAATAACATACATAGTCTGCAAGACGCTCCTCATTACTGTAAGGTTACGATAGGAACTTAGAGGTTGTTGAATTATGGAATGCCTTATTTTGCTTCAGAAGCTTGCCCCTTTCAACCTTGGTGTGGTAGTTTTCAGAAAGAGCTGAATTAGGCACAGCAGCTAACATGATAAAAACTGTTTATATTCTTGTAGTGTGAGTGCTACTTTGATTGTCATTCTTGTTTGCTTATTCCAAAACACAACTTCTTGTCAACAACAGTGCAGGTATACCTGCAGGTTACACACTTCTCGACGACATCTATAGCAATTTTCAAACTCACATACCTACGCTTTTCAGATTATAGTGCAACAACTGGAGAATGTCCAAATCAGGGCAGAGAGTGGAAGACAAATCCGAGTAGAGATTCCCAGATCCGAACGAGAAAGGTTTTGATTTTTTGAAGCGGTTATGTTCTTACAGCACAAATAAATTCGAGACTTCCCAAATTATTTGCAACCTTCGAAAACGAGGAGAAGACGCTACAAATCGACAGTTTTGGTTTATCTGCGAACGCTTTCGAAGAAGCCTTTCTCAGGTATAAAAAGCAAAGTAGTTACATTTTAAGCTAAGCAATATATCCAGAATCGGCGAGATTAGGGACAAGGCTGAAAGCAAAAATGTAGAGTTTTTAGAAGATCCGCGTCATGCTGAACTGCAAGAAAGTAAATTTTTCGGTATTGCTATGTACAACCCCTAAGAATAGAATTTCAACAATAATAGAATAATACTTTACAGATAATCTTGTTAGACTTGTGCAGCAAGCTAAATACATTTGGTTGAAGAAGTGGTGGAGAACGATCTACAGCATACCTTTAATTGTCGAACAAGTATTCATCCCTTATTATTCTCGCTTTGCCAAAATACTCTTACAAATTGAGCTCAAAAAAGTCAAATCAACTATGCCCAAATTAGGGCATTTCACGAGGTGCTGCTTTTTTCTACTAGATAAGTTCCTAACAAAAAAGTAGAGCTTTGAAGCACTTTAAATGCAATGGAATGAGAAAAAGACTCAAATACAGGTGAACTGCATCGTGCAGCATTTTTCAAAGCTAATATTCATACCATTATTTCCACCTTTTCTCGGGTCATGAACTGGATTGGTTGCTTATCAATTCTTTAAAAATACTAACAAACCAAGGACAAATCAAAATACTTGACTACACGCCAGTAAGAGAAAATCCGTGACTGATGCGATCGTGATCGCAGGAAACTTTGTAGCTAGGAGCTGAATGTTTTTTAATGAAATTACGGCTTTCATTGCAAAGACTCAGTCCTTATAATTTTTCAACAGTTGACGACGAGGCCGTGTTTGACGCGCACTTCAAAAATCGTTGTTTAGATGAAAAATGTCAGATTTAAATAATTAGTTGGTGATGATGACTTGCATATTGAAAACGAAGAGACGCAATCACCACTTTTAATTTTTTCAAAATGAGATTTTTATGGAGAATAAGCTTAACTAATAAGGATAAATCTGTATTAAGGACATCAAACGTAAAATCTCCAAAAAATGCATTTATTTATGAGTTTTATAATTGGTGAAAAACATGACGAAACGCAATGTGCATCGAGTTTTGTTAATATCATTATACAGAATCTGATGCATGTAAAATGTTCTTAGTCAATAAACGGAAGCCTGAAGAGTACATAACAGTTATATAGCATAGATAGTAATAGATGGTAGTTATATTAGGTCGTTCATAAGTTCGTAGCGTTTTCATAAACCAACAAAATGATAATACTTTGTGTCGATCATATATTTTCCGCTATTGTGCACAACCTTCTGTCGCTTTGCCGTCAAATTTTCAGTTCCTTTTTATAAGTCAGCACTTCTGTTCCTAAAAAAGTCGTCCAACCAGGGCCTAAGATCGTCTTCGGTAATCGTAACAAGCACCGTTCCTACGGTTTGCAACGGAGCTGCACAAATGATCATCTGGTAGGGCGAGGCCTGAGGAGTTTTTCGGATACTAATATGTTTCCCGATCAAGTCTTGCAAAACAGTTTTGACGACGTTTGCCATACGGAGCCGTATTTTGTTATGCAGGAAAAGTCAGTCACTGTACCTGTTTTTTTAATTCATTCTTGCAGTAGATATTCGTTTAGACTGTATGGGCTGCGTACAGTTTGAGCGACTGTTTTGTTCATCTCTAGCAATTTTTAGTGCAGAACCTCCTGCCCGTCCTGCAAAAAGTTTCTGGAGACATCCTGCATATTCTTAATTTCTTTGGAACAATCTCATTCTTTTTTGACTTAGTAACTGGAAGGCGCCATTTTTTTGTATCCGGCAAAACAATACATGCAAAAACACTTATTTTCACAAAAAAGGATCATGCGTCAAAATGCTTCTTTTTGTCGTTTGAGAATTCCACATTTGGAAGCTGAGAAATTAAAACCAGTCAGCTTTTATCGAGACCAATGAGATCATTGTAAAGAGCATTTAATCATCTTCTAAGATATGCGCGTCTTGCCGCAAAACAACTGCCTTCCGGAGAAACAAGGACGAAAATGACAATGCTACATAATTATGAAACGTCCTGATGATTAAAAGCCGTTAGATATTTTTATCGTCTTGTCATGAAACGCATAATATTGCTCGCCTTTTTGCTTGTCTATTTGTACATAATGTCCCAGAAACTTTCCCTGCTGTTTGTCGCTAATAACCAGGGTCAAGGGGTTTGGCACACGATCGCTGGTTACAACCCCCCCCCCCTGATTGCTGTCTCAATAGAACCCCCTCCTAAATAACATACCTAAGATAGCATTACCTGAAGGCCATGTCAAACATAAAGGGCAACATGTCCATAATTAACACGTCAATCAGCCCCTGTGGTCATATTCCAACATATTTAACTTTATTTCAAAGGTGAATTAGCTGCCTGTTTTTGCACTTACTACAGAGCAATACTCCTTCTCTGTCCACCTCAGAGATTCCGCTCCAAACAACCTCCAAACTGTGGAAATAGAAGCCAGCCAAAGCCTCGCTTTTCCCATTTTTTGCTTTTGATGGCTGTGCTTTCACCAAATATTAATCACAGCTATGAAGACGAATCAGGCTCAAATCACTTCTATGAAATCGACTATATATAGGCTATTGATTCATATAAATAAGTTCGCTAAAAATGTTTTTTATATAGTCACCCCATTAACTATATCAAAAAAAACATTTTTAGCGAACAGTATTTATATGAATTGATAGCTCAAACCTCGTAGATTCTATAGGGATGTTTTAGCCTGATTCGTCTTCTTATCTCTGAGTAATATTTGGTGAAAGCACAGCCATTAAAAAGCAAAATGGAAAAAATGAGATATTGGTTGGCTTCTAATTCCACGTTTGGAGGTCTTTTAGAGCGAGATTTTTTAGATGGACAAAGAAGGAGTAGTGCTTTGTCTGGAGTGCAAAAACGGAAACCTAATTCACCTTTGAAACAAAGTTAACCATGTTGGAATATGACCCTTTCACTTAGGTAGCCTAGTATCTTAAATTTCAGAATTCGCTCCTTTGTCTTCAGGGGTTATTGACATGCTAATTATGGATATGATATGAACATCATGTTATCAGTATTATCAGATTACCCAACCTACAACCTTCTCCCCTTTTAACTCCTCATTACGACCCCCAGGTGTGGCGTGCCACACCCTACGCTTGACCCTGCTAATAATTCTTTTTTAGTGTCTTTCGTCGCCTTCTCTAATTTGGATTTACAGTATACAGCAAAGTTTTTTTGCTTTGCTTAAGCGCCTTTCTTTGCTGAGGTCACAAAAACGAGCGATCAATGATTTGCTCCGTCTCTTGCAAAACTAAGTTAAAGCCAGCTTTACAGAATGGTGTCTTGAAAGACGTGTCCAGGCAGATTTGGAAGCGTCTCATTTCCAACATTTTACTGAAGGGGCTTCACATGCAAGTCATAGCCGACTGCTACTGAAAAAATTCGATTTCGGAAGGAGAAAATTTTGGAAAGAGAAAATTGCATTATAAGTTTGGACATAACGGCCTCTCGATATAGCTCGTTTTTTTTACCGAAGCAGTTAGTGCCGGGGCATTCCGAGGAAAAAAGTAACAGCGAACAAGACTGAATGATAGGAAGGAAGTATGTTCAGATTTCTGAGCTGGTTTCTAGCATCAGGAGTTATATATTGCAGCCACAGTTGGGCTGTGGCTTGCATGTGGAGTCGCTTCAGTAATCTTTGAAAGTGAAGCGCTTCCAAATTTACCCGGACACTGCTTTTGAGGATGGCGAAAGACAATAAGCAAGAAACTTAATGACAATCAGACACCAGAAACTTTTGGAGACGATGGCGAAAGACAATAAGCAAGAAACTTAATGACAATCAGACACCAGAAACTTTTGGAGACACTTTATTTATCTGAAAATACTGAAGTATCGCACTTATGAAAAAAATTGTTTTAGCAACCAGAACTTGCCTAAATGGAATCTCGCTAGGTCGAAGTGGCGATTTGAAACGTGATGTATACCTACGCATAGAGCTCAAAACGCTGAACTCAAATTACCTTCTATATCTGCGGAGCATTTTTCTGCAGGAACTAATGAGATTTTGTATCTAATATGTTGTCTAGAAGAGGAATGACAATCTGCGGATTACAACATTTAATATGTTGTCTAGAAGAGGAATGACAATCTGCGGATTACAACATGGTTGGATAACAGCTGGAAAAGATATATCAGAGATTAGACTTGCAACACTTAACAGATGCTTTCCTTGAGCCTCTAAATTTGTGTGGAACGTAGGACTCAAAGTAGACAAAATTTGAATAAGAAAAGCTCATAACTCTTCACAAAGCGCATCGCAGATATGAAAGGTATAACTGACGCGTTCAAAGCTCTATCCATGAATATATGAAAACACATCATTTTCCGAATCGTCATTCTAACCAAACCAACTCTCTTGTAAGAGTCGATCGAAAGTGTCGTAATCAAAGTGCACGCTTTCTAGAAATAACCACAAATACCGCTATTGTTTAACTACTCCGCAATTTTGAAAAAATTCTATCACTTGTTTTATTAGCATAAAGCGTTTTTGTTGACGTAACAATTTCAACTTGATCATTACAACTTTCTAAAACTTTGTATGCTTGAATATACTCCAATCAAGTCTTTCCAAAGTCAAATCTTCCAGATTTTATTGCCTATCACGCTGATGGTTCTCATGTATTTGCTCCATTCAGGGACTACTAATAAGAGTATTCCATCTTACACGAGATTCATAGGGAGTCAGTTTCACTTATTGAAAAAAGAACGAGCAAAGAACCCACAATACTCGCAGTTCCCGATTTGTCACTCGAAATGTTTGAAAACGGCCGCTTTTTGATATTTGACATGGATAATAATACAGCAAAACAAGCATCTTTGGAGGAGCTAGTAAGAAGAGAGTACCCTCGTTTGGAAGTAAGGTAGTCGCTGTTTTCTGAAAAGGCTTAGTAGCACACAATCTTAAGCGGTAAGTACTATAGAATATTAGTGATAAGGTAATAAGTCATGCGAGTGTAAACGCTTAGCTTGTGATTTCTGACAGTCCTCACTGAATGCTGATAGATGTTACTAAATTTTCGTCATCAGTTGGCGTCGTTGAAGTAGAGGCAGAAAAAACTGTTACATTTATGGCAACTCTTTACCAACTAGTACAGGACGATGAAAATTTTTGCGTTCATGCTTTTTATGAAAAGTTTCAATTAGCACGAACAGTTCTTTTTGAATAATGTAGGTCACGTATTTATTGTCATCCATTTATTGTAACTTAACATCAATTTTTTCGATAACTCGACATCACCATAGTG